GGTGTTGCGAAGGCAAGAGAAAGAAACTACCATATTTGGCCGACTTTCAGGTACAAAATTGCCAGATAATCAGAAGGGAATAGTGTATTTTTTTCAAGTGTTAAAGAGGTGTTAGAGGTCACAAAAAGTGGCTCAAAGGTCACATGTACCCTGTGGGCCACAACTGCCCCAACCTTGCAGTAGACCGAGGATTTCATAGTGAGCCCCCAGGCAAATGTGACTGTAATATTTGTTATTTTCTCTTGACCCAATCGGATTAGGCAGCAACAAAAATGCATCTGCTCTTTTTCCAGCCAGGCAACAAGCATGAGGATATAGTTCTTGATAGGCCATAAGATACAAAAAATCAATATAGTTTTTGGTGGCACAAATTCTGCCATCAATGTTCTGCATTTTGGAAAATGTAATGTATTTTACAATCTCAAAAGAGTCTAAAGGAACTGGTGCCCAGCCAACAATATAAGGATAAGAGACAGGTTGTGTGGTAAAAGACGGAGAACACCATGAGCAATCACCCAAACAATCAACCTTAACATAATCTGTGTTAAGGTTGATTGTCTGGGGTGCAATTTGTGTATTTCATACTGTGTGTTCTCCTGGAACACTTGGTCTAAGGACAGAGCTAGCCTCAACAAGTTCTACACAGCCGCTCCAAAAGTCTCTGGAGCTCAATGATCAGTAACTCAGCTAACAGGTGTTTGGAGTGTTTCACAGGGCAGTTTGAGAGGGAGGTCAAGAGTGATCTCATGCTGCCTGTATAGGACTGAACATGCATGGTCAGGAAGCTGCTGAAGTAAGCCACTACAACTGAACCATGCCTGAAGACGAAAAGTTGAGCTCACACTAACTAAGATTCCAACAGGGATCCAAAATTACATTTGGATCAAAACAATGAAATGCTTAGATATTAGATAGGTGACCCCTGACTTGACAAGAGTATGTATGCAAAAAATGTAATGGTTTTAGTAGATCACAAGCTATACATGAGTCAACAATGTTCAGCAGAAGCCAAAACAGCCAACATAACTGAAGGCTGCATCAACATTTAGATCAAAGGAAATAAAACTACCAACCTATTCTGTTTTGGTAAGATAATACCTCATACAGTTCAAGAATACTATGGACAAGCTGAAACAGTCACAAGAAGACAACCAAGATGGTAAAAAGTGAGGAACTCAAGCCCTGACAAACAGCTTAAGGAGCTTGTTTTTTTTTAAGTTTGGAGATGAGGTGATAGTCATCAGGGATGTTAAGTAAAAATATTGAGAAAGTTTGTTTTCAGCTGTTCCAGAAACTAGGACATGAACCAATATCTTCAAATTCTGAGAAAAAAAAGATTCCACTTAAACTTAAGGGAAGAAAATTTTGACAATAAAAGTCACCTGACAGTGGAATGGACTACATAAGACTATCTTCATGGGACATCTTTTAACAGAGGTTGAATAGAGGGTGCTTCAGCTGTAGCAGGTAGAAACAGTGCATAAATCTTTCTTGCTATGATGCCCTTCCTAACCTATATTATCTTAACATCCAGAAAGCAGCACTTTTATTGATGTTTTTCCCTGTGAGCATCTGTTTCCTGTAACACAAATATATTGTAAATCACAATATATTTCCAGATTCAGGTCAGAACTATCTTGGTGCACAGATTAACAGATAATGTCTGACCTTAATCCWATACAGCCATTCACTACAGTACAGAATAATCATATGTTCCATAGTTACTATTATCAATGAAAAGGCATCATTCTATAAACTCTACTCCCCCCCCCCCCCACTATATATACATACATTCACCCATATGGAACAGAATAAATAGTACTCTCACGTGGTTCTTCATCTAGGTACTGACCACATGCAGAATAATTTATCTTCAAGGCTGAAACTGCCTCAGGTGTTTTCAAGACCAAATTCTGGGACTGTGTCCTGTTTCCATGTTCACTTGTTGCCGAAAGGCAACTTCAGAATGCTCCTTGCAAACTAAACTTAATAGTGTCTTCAAAGCATACATGTTCAGCAGAAATAACAGGTGTTTCAAACAGGTGGCCAATATTACCAAAACATTTCTGCACAAAATTTAATAGACATAACTGCCTGGGAAGTTGGTACTATAAAACTGAAGTCCTTTTTAGATGTTTGCTGTGATTATTGATTCATATCTATGAGGAAGAGGATTCACTAGTTAGATTAGTATTAGATAGCGGAATGTGTTCTAACATAGTCCCAATGCTTGGTTCAGCTACCTTCTTCTGTCTTTTATTACTTTCTTTGTAAGTTATATGTAAACAATTTTAGTCATAGGAGTGTTTACTCAATAGTAATACTACACACTGAAGATCCTCTACTTCCATCAATAAAATTGACATTGAAAAATAACTCCCAAAATAAATCTTTAAATAGCACTGTACTAATACCTTAGTCATATGAGAAGTAATACATTTCCTTTCACTCTAGTTTTTACTAAATTATTCTTGTGGGAATCTGTCAATCTTTCAGAGAGTTTTTCAGCCACTGTCCAGCATTCCATCCCATCAGACTGTGAGCCTTACTTTTCTCTAATGAAAGTATGCTCACTTTGAGCTTTTGTCTTGGTACATTTCTCCCTTTTGCCCTTTATTCATGCTTCTTCAAAATCCATAGCGATGTTGGTAACAACTGACCTCCTGTTAGAACATTTGAGGGTCAGGGCTTCTCAGTTCTTGGCGTTAATTTCACATTTTTTTTAGGTTAGCCTTAAGCTTGTCTTTAAATCTCTTTTGCTGTATATTGACATTCTGTTTTTTGTTTTTCACCTGAGAGTAAAGTACTTGCTTTGGGAGATTGTGATTGGGCATTTGGACATGGCCAGTCCAGCAAAGTTGAAGGTGGAAGATCATCGCTTCGATGCAAGTAGTACTTGTTTCTTCCAGAAAGCTAAACATTTTAGTTATGCACTAAATATACATATTTATTACATAACTAAAACCACCCTAAATTCCTTCGGGGAGAGAGGTGTGGGCTAAAAATAAATAAATAAATAAATTTTACAGTAAGATAGGGCATGCGTGGTTTTGTTTGCTTCTCTCTTCACAAAACATCAAACAAACATTCTGGGAAAATGAATCTGTAAATTCAAAAAATTTCTTCTCCATATTACACACTAACTGCTAAAAATCTGCTGACTTTTAATTAACTGTAGACATTCCCTTCATGTAAGCCAAGGAGTGTTGACAATTAGAATAATAGAATCATAGAGTTAGTAGAGACCTCATGGGCCATCCAGTCCAACCCCCCTGACAAGAAGCAGGAAATTGTTTTTTTTAAAGTGATAGTGTGGGGTATATAAAAGTAAACTGCACAGTGTGAAAATCACTTAAATTGAAATAATGGCAAAAATAATTTTGATTCCATTACATTGTATTATAAAGAAGATATATATCTGTTTTTTGAGTAAGGCATATTATAACTTATGTTATTTAGCTTCTCGGAAGCATCCTAGTCTGAAAGAAGTTAGAGTTATGGAAGTTCAGAAGCTTTTCTATGCCTACAGGTGAACTGAATAGTCTTCCAAAGCTGCCACAGGTATTTTACAAGGGTTCTTAATGATACAAAACAATTATTATTAACACAAAAGATTGCCACAGAATTTAGTGTTAAGAGCAAAAAAATTTAAAAGCTATATCCGGGAACATCTTGTTCATTGGTTGCTATGGACACATGTTCACTATTCAGTCTAAACTACTGAGAAGATGAAATGGCAAGCATCATCTGGTCTGTGCTCACTTCACCTCGCTTTTTTGGGGGGCATTTCTTAAAATATATCTACCTTGAGCAGGTGACCTATACTTTCGATTCTAATATGCATTTTCAATCTCTTTCTGTCAGTGTAGATACTTATATTGATTTATGCTAAGACAAATGCCTGTCCTTTGCAAGAGATAAAATGTGTGTGTGTATGTATGAGAGAGAGAGAGAGAGGGAGGGAGGAAAGAAACAGAGCAAGATGAAATAGGTCCTATCAAATCCATTTTAAATTAAAGCCTCTTGCAAGATATGAATTAAATTCGTATTTGCATCACTTTGAACAGCACACCAGAGCCACACATTAGGAAAGGGGTGAGGAAATCTACAAGACAGGCAACAGAATTATCAACTCTCCCAGCATATGACGCCTTATCCCCATAAATATACACAAGCTTTCTTTTTGCAAAATATGATTTGATTCAATACCTCTGCTACTCCACTTCTACTCCTGCTCATTAAGTGTGATAGCTTAGATATTTTAGTTGTGCTGAGAATCAGGGCCATGTTTATTATTTATTTATTTTATTTCTTGTATTTTACCTCACTTTATCTCAACCCCGAAGAGGACTCAGAGCAGCTTCCAAATTCAGAGCAGCTTCCAAACTGTTAGCAGGCCAGGCTCCCAAAGTTAGCAGTAACTGTTAAATGCCATTTCAGATTACTACACTCAGTTCTGATTAAAAGGGCTACACAGGAGCTCCCAAGGATCACACTTTAAATGCAGGCTACACAATTTCTACTTCTTGTGTATGCCAAGATAGATGTGAATACAAATTCTTAACCACAGATAAGGCAGAAACTCTCATTTCTGAAGCAAAAGCAGCTGAAGCAAGATGGAATATTAGGCTATGCCACCGTCTGAAAACTGGCCTATAATGCATTACATTTTATGACAATGAAAACAACTCTTTACAATTGGAACATTTCGTTTCACTGATTTCTGAAACCTTAAACTTCAATGTGGATTTGCAATTAACAACTACTACACTACTTGTAAGAATTTTAGCGTTTCAGTTTAAAAGTCTGTTCAAAACAATATTTTGTGATCTGGATACTGGCAGAGCAGACATGTGTTTTTGAAGATATGGAAAATCAGAAACAAGAGCTTTTTGAGATCTTCTTAACAAATTCTAATGAATTAAGATAGGCCCACTGCTGATTTTTATGAAAACTCTAACAATGTATACCTATTTCAAGCACTGGTTTCAAGCACTTACCTGACAGTCAAAGTCCTGAAAATTCCGAGCTGAATTCTGCCAAAATAAGAATAGAAGCCAATGAACAGCCCATTTTACAGAACTGTCTAATGAACTGTGCTCTGCAGTTGAGTTAACTGAAAATCTGCTTCAGTTTACTACCTATGAAACTACTGTTGGAACTGAAACTTTATATCCAGAACAAGGAAAAAAATGTGCATAGGAGTAATCAGAACAGAATAAACTCCCTCCTTCCTCAACCAGTGAGTTGAATTGCAAGAACAGAAGAGGGACTAGAGCAGCAATTAGACATACAGAAATAGATAGCCTCCAAACTAAGTAGGCCCCAAAAACAGTCTTTTTTAACTTATGGTAATCATGTTGGTGTTATTGGTGTTATTTGTGAATAATGCCTTTCATGCATAAATACAGCTATTTCTATGTACAACAGCCTACCAACATTTTATCTTGTGCACATAAGTATTTGGTGATGTGGTTATTCAGAGGTGAATAACATGCATTCAAGTGATCTCAGATTCAATCAATGACAGCTCCAGGAAGGCAACAAATGACAAATGACAAAAAGTGGAAGATCCACTAAAAGGATGAGAATAATGAAACCAAACTGGATTGGACTGAAGAAGCTGATAATTGTGGTATATGGTCATAATTTAGATCTGTTGAAGAAGTGGAACATTGAAAGTCATAGAAAAGCAGGGGATGCCTGTACACATAGATGTGTATTTTTAGTTACCTTATTTGTTTAGGGTAAGATATAATCAACTAGTTCGTTATTGATTATATCTCACCCTAAACAAATAACTAAAAAAGTTAAACACCAATGTGCAAACAAAAATTACAAACCTATGTATACAGGCATCCCCTGCTTTTCTACAACTTTTGATGTTCCACTGGTTCAACAGATCTAAATTATGGCCATGTACCACAATTTCAATCCCTAGTTTGCTCTTTTGACCATGCTCGGCTTTCCTTCAACCTTTTCAGTCTACTCAGCAGGCTATTTTTTCTCTCAGTCAACTCAGCACCATCTTTTGTTCAATCCTGCATTTGAAAAGAAACCAATAGGTTCTGCTTTTCAACCATTTATACTTTTTTAAAAACAGCACCCTGATCCCTAACCTGTTAAATAAGCAAGGGATGCCCATATACACATAAAGTTCAGTCTCCTCACTTTAGTGCATTTGTTCACTTGATGTAGAGCAGTTAATCGGACAAGTTACAACATCTATGAAAAAATGCCTGTACTCCTTAAAAATCAATTTCTATACCAATCTTCAAATTCTGCTTTAAAAAGACTGAAAGCAAAGTGAAATACAAAAGTTGCCATCTTGTATAACGCAAGCTATTTATGCTACTCATAGGAAGGGGCAAGGAACAATATTATTTTTTAATTTGGCTTGTATTCCACCTTTTTATTCTAGAACTGGGAGCTCCGGGGCATCAAAGCCTTGTACCCTTGCTTTGAACCTGAAATCCCATCCTCCGGTTTTGATTATCACTAGACATTGGCTCGACAATTTATAAACAATCCTTTCTGCTGTTATTTATTCAATCATTATAAATGAATTTATTACATGGATTCTAGTAGAAAACAGGGAATGCCATTTTGCCAGTTTTTAAAGTACTGCATCAATCTTTTACCATTACATATTATGCGTTAAAAAATAACAGATTACCAGGGACCTTTCCAAATAACTTGACATGCAGAAATACAGAACATAATCAGGAGTTATGCCTAGCTAACAGAGAGAACAAAATGGCTAGATTTCTGCTAATGCTTAAACCACAGACAGGCTTGTAGCCGGGGGGTGGGTGGGGGGCTTGAGGGGCTTGAGCCCCCCTCCCCCAATTCTCGGGGGGGGGGGGTCAGCAAGAAGCCCTTACTGGTATATTATTTAAACTGTTATGTTTATTCATATCATGATCTGATCACCATGCTCAATATATCCCATATGCATGGGGGTATTGGGATAACGATAGAAAAGGTTTGCTAGGGTAGATCCTCAGCCCTCTGGAATCAAACTCAGCCCCACCCCCCCACCCCCAATCAAAATCCTGGCTACGGGCCTGACCACAGATATTACCTTATCATTCAGAAGTGGTTTGATTTCTGTCAACTGGACATCTTGCAATTCTTCCATGTCTACTGAGACCACTGAAGTTAACAGTCAATGCTCCTGTTGGAAAGCAAAAGAAACAAGGTCACAACTTTGCAAGAGATCCTATATCTACAGCATAGACTGAGGTGACTGACCAGGTATTCAAGTTTAGCCATAGGATAGGTTCCAGTTTCCTCAGCTCACAGTGCAGCACAAACAGTATTTATAACTGGCTGAATCATAAAGCTACAAATGAAAACATCCCTCCAAAAGAAACTTCACAGAATTAGGATTAGTGGCTTCATGGTGTAGCGATACTAAGAAAAAATTGTTCAACTGTACTTCATTTATGTGAAATATTTTTGTTTTATTACAGTTTTACTGTTTTTAATTACTACCTATAGTCATTTAACTTTTCAGGACACGTGTGTTTTTAGTGTAATTATGTTTTCTTTAAATATTAGTATTTTTCATTATCATTTAATTTTTATTTTCTCTTGTTATAAGTTATTTATGCTATTTTGTATTGCTTTAATTTGTGTGTTTTTGTTGACTACAGCATTGAATGTTTGCCTTTTTGTATGTAAACTGCTCTGAGTCCCCTTGGGGAGAGAGGGTAGTCTATAAATAAAGTTACGATGATGATGATGATTACCTTTAATTGCTGTTAACTGTATTTATCCTATTGCAAGGATAAGATGCATTTTTTCTGTTTCTTATTAAGGGAGAACTATGAATGTTTTTTTTTTCCAATGATTCAGTTGTTTTCATTTAAAAAATGAGAATTTCCAAATCTCTTTTCCCCACTATTGTCGCTTCCAGCCCTCATGTTACAACAAGGGAAGGCAGGGATGAAGGGAAGGGAACAACATTATATTATCCTGGCAATACAGTGCCATATTGGATTTAATTGGGAAGTAAATAAGCTACCTTTTCCCTGACTACCATAGGCATAAAGCACACCTTTCTAGAAAATGTACATCTGGTGGCTTTTCGGAAAATACTGCCATAGCTCCAAAATATTTTTCCTTTCTCTTCTTGGTTTGTGTGTGTGTGTGTGTGTGATAGTAATGAGGGCATCTTTGCAGGCATCTGAAACTATAGGAGCCTATAAACAAGGAGGAAGAGAGAATGCAGGGATTTAATAATGCAAAAAAAAAAAAAAGATTTTTGTATATACAGAAAAACACTCAAAATATTCTGATTAAGAAGTCACTGACTGATCTCCAAAGATACACATTTATTGCTGTTCTATCAGTGTCATCTAGCCAATATACATCACTATTTATTAACCTTTCATAAATAAGTCACTAGAAGAATGAGTGAAATGTTTATATAATAGTTGGGGAGAGTAGAGTGGAAAGATAGAGATCAATGTCAACATTTAAGGGTATAAAATCCCATGTTTTAAAACATCTTTTCCCAATCTGAGAACTTCCCAACCAAATAATATCCACCCAAGAAATATTATGGGATTTTCAGTAAATATGGAAAAAGTGTCAGAGTGAGAAAGCCAACTTTAAAATTATTTTTAAAAACATGTTTGAAAGAACCAATCAAAATTTGCCCTTAAGGGCAACAATGATGACTCCATGTTCTCTTTCAATTCCATGTCTTGTTCTAACAGCTTAAGTAATTTATTAACAGATATTTCACAATCACTTTCACTTATCAATCTGAATGACAACTAATTAATCACTCACTTCTAATATCCAACACTAACAAATTAGTTTTGAATCCTAATTTTACAAGCACTGTGTTTTACCTTGGCTGTCCCAGGCAGCAAAAATGTCCCGGGTCAGCCCTCTTAATACTGGAGCAAATAAAAGCTGTAAATTCTCCCATAAATCAACAACACCCTCCATACTTCTCATGTATATACATGAGTAATGACAGACTGTTTTGCCTTTACAGGTATGATTAATACTTCCACAGTCTAATTGCTTTAAGGATCAAGGAAAGCTAGCAGCATTGAAGAAAGCAGTGTCCAGAAGGATACAAGCCTTATTTGTCACAACTGGTATACAGTCGGCTCATGTTTCCAAGGTAACTGTATGCATGCTCTCTGGATATGGAAAGGAAAATGGCCATAAGTATGACAAAGAAGATCTTCAACAAAAACTTAAACATCCCTTATTCTTGACTGGTATTTTTAATATTCACTATTAAATATCCAAATATATAACTGGGAAATGATACAAGGAGTTGGGCTGCAACTAAATACCACACTTACCTAGATCAGTAAGTCCTTGTATAACTTTTCTAGTTGTTACTTTTGTATAGTGTAATGAATTGTATAAACTTTCTAGTTGCTACATGGTAAAACAAAAGAAGTGTCATTTCCATAAAGAAGCGTTGTTTACTCTTAACAGTACATGAAGGAATTACCAGAAAATAACCCCACTGATCAAAAATTTCAGATTTCAAGACACACTGGATGTCACTGACACAGCACTACTAATGTCAAAAATGTAATCCAAAATGCAATAATTTAATTCCAAAACTTTGAGAAGTAAATGAGCATTATATTTAAGAAGGTTATTATCAGTCATAGTAATACATTTATATCTCAAATTACTAACACAGTTGGCCCTCTGTATCCATGTTGCTCGCCTCTCTTCCATCTCATTGGCTGAATGGCCAAAAGTAGGGCCAGAGCCCTCATTGGATCTCCTGCTGGCTTGCTGATGTCACAGGCAATCATAACAAAGCCAGCTTGGGGGGCGGGGCGGGGAATTTTTTTAATCTGAAAGCTATACGTTTTGTATTTCTCTGCCCAGTGAGCATGTCGATTTTGTTGGCAGGCTACTGCAATCGTCATCCTTTCCAGATGGAAAGAAATAAAACCTCAGTGACTTTCTCTTCAACTTGGCGAAATTTATTCTGGAATACTGGCTTCTCTTTCTCACCAGGCAACCCACAATGGCTTGGGTCTCTCTATCCACAGCCATTCTAATTTGATCGACAACACATGGATTTGTAGAGTCATAGAGTTGGAAGAGACCACATGGTCATTGATCATCCACAGAGTTTGGTATCCACAAAGGGTTCTGGAAGCAAACTCCAATAGATAACAAGGGCCCGCTGTACATTTGTTTGCATCTCCCTTTTTTTAATTTGAATTTTTATTTTGCATATTTTTAGAAGAATTACAGACTAGCCAATATTTAGTAGTAAAACAACAATTCATTTGTTTAAAGAATTACTGCTATAGCCTACTTCTCAGGGACAGTATTGCTACCTCTCATATCACATTTTTAAAATAGTGATAAATCTCTTTTAAGTTTAACAAGGAAATTAAATAAATACATTGTTTTTTGACATCAGGAAAGCTGAGTCGTAGTCCTAGTGTAGCAGGAATAACACAAGAGCCAATTTTTTGGAATGCAACTGAACTCTTTGGATGTCAAGATTATGAGAAAGTATGCAAAGAACACACAGCTAAATAATTGGGGTTTGTGTAACAAATAATTAAAAAGAGCAGGTGGCTCTTAAACAGCATCAACTAAGGAACTGGATAAGATGAGGATAATATTGGAAGTAGATTTAAAAAGCTTCTTCTTTTCAGAGAACAAGCCTGCATCTGTTAAAAAGATTTGTGGGAGCAGCCCAGGTTAATCCTGTTTTCAGCTTGAAGCCCCATTATCAAGGATTGTAAACAACCGAGAACAAATGTAAAATGAAAGAATTGAAAACGGATGTGTCATCTATTAAATTATTATCATATTACACACCAAAGTCTGAGAAAATGGGAAGCATTCCAATTTATAACCACTATTCTTGAGAAGGAAACATTTAAGAAATTTTAAAATAACTTATCTTCACACATAGAGAATGAGCATGAATCCAAATCATGATTCTAAGAATTGGATCTAATGTAGGCATGGGCAAACTTGGGCCTTCCCTTCAGGTGTTTTGGACTTCAACTCCCACCATTCCTAACAGTATCAGGCCCCTTCTTTAAGCGGTTGATGGGGAAAAGGAAGGGACCTGATGCTGCTGGAATGGTGGAGCTGAAGTCCAAAACACCTGGAAGGCCCAAATTTGCCCATGCCTGATCTAAAGTATTGGCATAAGTGCATTTCTGCAAAAGAAATGGACACAGCTGACGTGTAGCCAATTCTGCAAAATGTAGGCAGGATGAGATTGATTGATACCTCTATATAAGAACTGAGATATTTTCCAAAATTGTCTGAACTTCTCTGCGTATTTATTTCTCAGAATCATAGGAGAAAAATTACTGAGTTCACAAGCTGGAATAATGATGGAAATAATTACCAGTAAGTGTAACAAACCTTCTGTTTCAAAAAGTACTGTATAAAGGAAATTAATACAAACCTAGCATTTTTTCTTGGTTTGCTGGTATGTTTTTGCAAAAACATGAAACAAAAATATCTGAAGTATTACTATAACAATGACCAAGATACAAAATGAGAAAGTCAACAGTTGGTGCTGAAGTCCCTTCCCTGGATCATCAGCTGGGAGCCCCTCTCCCCAACAATAATATAGTAATATATAATACTAATATTGTGCTGTGCTAATATTATAATATATAGTATACATATATAATAGTGATAATAATATAATGTAATACAATATAATGCTAATAATGCAATAAAATAATTATATATTTTATATTGCATGTAATATTATTAATAAAATTACAGTATTGTGGTATAGTACAATATAGTAATATATAATAACAACATTGTGCTGTGCTAATAATATATTGTATACACATATAATATTGATAGTATTATAATACAATATAATATTAATACAATAAAATAGTTTTATATTTCATATTACATGTAACATTACTAATAATACAGTATAGTGGTATAGTACAATACAGTAATACATATTAATATTGTGCTATGCTAATAATATATAGCATATACTCCTCTTGATGGACTTCTCCATATTCCTAGCTAGTAATTAAGCCCCATAGCTTGTCTCTCCTGTACTTCCCACCAGATAAATTGCTCCAGTTTCCTATCTCGTCCTATGTCCCGTTTTTATCTGTGCATTTGGCCTAGCCCATCCTGATTTACTCCTTGTCTGTAATTGTTATTTCA